CAAATCCATGCTGAGAGTGGAGCTCCTTCAATCAGTGCTCCACCGCAGCTCTGATTGGCTCAGCAATGTAACGTGATTCTTTGACCGCGGTAAAGCTAGCCGTCAAAGCGTTGCGTCACCACGACTTTACACAAGGGTGTTTTTACCTCCGCGGCAGAGGCTCCGCCGAACCCCTGGGGTTCGACCGAACCCAGGTTAAGAACCACTGCTTTAGGGTTAGCGTAATTTACTTTTTAGTTAGTGCTGCTCACAACTAACATCCACCTGATGATGACTCACAAAGATTCACGCACTGATTGAGCAACACAATACTTTTATTTCCAAGAATGGGCTTTTCTATTAATGGTTCAGTTGCAAAGAATAAGCAGCATACATGTGATGACACATCAGTCTGTTGGTTTTCTTCTACCTGCTACCAAAATAAAACTCATTATTTCTGCTAAGAGCAGCAACTGATCTGCTCGGTGAGGTTGGGCCGCAGACATGTTCGGGTTCAACTGACCAGTTTTTCTTGAAGAACAGGGCCCCAGTCAATCTTCTGCTTCAGCTCCAGGTTTTGCAGCTGTTTGTACAGGTCCCGGAAGATGGTGCAGCCCTTAGCCCAGCGTTCGTGCAGGTTTTTCACACTAAAGGAGAAACAAACAAAAAATAATGTTTTTATTAGTATTCTTATTTCTGCAGAGAAAGGGAATGTGAAAAACAACCGTGTTTGGGCGGCGCCTCTCAGTGGTTTGAGTCGAGTTTCATACCACTGATGCCTGTTTGTGCTTTAGCGAGTCAGAGATGCTCCACAACAAACATACTCATTGTCTATCTCAGAGGCCTGCGGGTGCTTCAGCTTCTTGGCTCTGTCCGCGTCCACAAAGAGGTCCTTGAAGAGCAGCTCGGCCTGCCTCAGGTTCACCGAGTTCTCCTGCTGGTGAATCATCTTCTTGCTCTTCTTCTGCAGCTCTTGGTCCTGAACAAAAGCGAGAGCAGCAGACATTTCCCCAGTTGAAAACGAGCTTAGCGGAGAAGGGATTTTACGCCTGGACGGCCGCCGGCCTGCTCCGGTGAAGTTTGGGAGTCTCACCTCCGCCAGCAGCGCCTCGGCTCGCAGGATGTTCTGCTCCACTTGGTTTGCATTACTCTGCATGCGATGGATCACCTCAGAGAGTTCACTTATGTCCTTCCTGGAAACAGACACAGGACGCCATTACAACCACCTTACTGCAGATGTTTGCTTTTCTTTGTCTTTGTCAAAAACATAATATATATTATTGTACTTTAAATGAAAAGGCATTATAAACTCAAACTACATCTGTGTTTATGGTGATATTTTATGTGAAATGTAACCCAAAGAAGAGCACAGCTGTAATTTAAAAGGAAAAAGAACAATTGAAAAATGTGACATTTGTATTCAGCAGGTATTAAACATACTTTTTATGAAGCCCACATCTCTGTTTTTAAAACTTTTTCTTGGTCTGACAATATTCTTATATTAAATGTGTTTTTAGCTGTGAGCAGGGCCGGATTTGGAGGGATAAGGGCCCCTGGGCTAGAGTCAGTTTTGGTGCCCTGTCAAAAAAACAACAAAAACAAAAGGCATTGCACTCATGTAAGTTGGAGTACATTAATAGGTAGGTCTGTGAATCAGCAAGTTTAAAACATCCCACATGACATGCCACATCCAGCAACATGGAGGCAACATGGCTCCATGTTGTGCCTCAGCCAACATGGCTTCATGTTGCTTAAAAACAGATGTGGAAGTTCAGAATTTTTAAATATATTAGTTTTTCTATACATTAATAAAAATGTAACTCTATCATAGCTCTATTGATACAGACCTATAAAGTGTATAATGTAAAACATGTATTCATTATAAAAACATTTTAAATCTTTGGGACGCCTCCCAAGACTTGCAGCCCTGGGCATCTGCTACGCCCAGAATAAGAAATAGACGATGTTAAAACATCAATCTTTGTCTAATCAGACTATAAAACTGACCAGCATATTTGTATTGATGATTTTGATGAAAGTGCTTGATAAAACGTAATGTTTGTTTCTGGTTTTTCAGCTGGCGGCTGTTTGTTGATTTATGACTTTATTTTGTCTTTTTATGATGTGAAGCACTTTGAACTGCTTTGTTGCTGAAATGTGCTATAAAACTGAACTTGATTCATTGATTCATTGATTGATACATATTGTGTTTCCTTAGGTGATAACAATGTTCTGTTTTATTGAATGGGTCTGTATTTTTGCAAAGAAGAAAGGTCAAAATGTCTCTACAGTTTGCATTTGTTCAAAGCTGATGGAGGAAAAACCCGCAAAAGACTTGCAGCTGGAATTGCAATGAAAGGTTGTTCTACAAAAGTACCGGACTTGATACACATGTACACCACACTGTTCAGATTTATTTTTTTTTAATTGTACAAGAATCATATCATCATCTTTCTAAAATAGCAAGTTTTTATATTTATGTGCCTAAATCATCTCTTGGCAATACAGAGGTGCTGTTTTTTTTGTGTGTGTTGTTGTTGCAAAAATAACTTCTGGCAAAAAAAAAAAAAAAAAGACATAGGCCATTATTTTTAGGAAGGTGATGATTCGCAGTTCTTAACAATAAAGCTCTCCCTATTGTTTGTGAAATCTCTCATCTGTTGAATGTGTGACTCCGTTTGCTGGGCTAATGTGACTAAGACTAGGCATCCTCTGAGAGGAGCGAGGAACCTGCTCAAAAAACCCGCTGTGGACCTGTTTGGGCGCTCAGTCTGTTTGGTTTGTGATTCCTCCTCTCGCCGAGACACGAGAGCAAAGTATTTATGGCGACCCGCCCCGGGTTAGACGGCAGAGGACACTTCGCTGGGTGGAGGGGAGGTGCCCCGCTCTCCTCCTGTTTGACGGCCAAGAATGCGGTTTTTGCAATGAGTGTGTGTGTGTGTGTGTGTGTGTGTGTGAGAAAGGCATTCCATCACCTGCTACACACACACGCTAAACAAAACCAGCAGTGTTATTACTGGAGCGAAGGTTTATGGCCCGTAGTAGGGAGACTAATGAGTGACAAATAGTTTCTGTAAAGAAGTTTTTTTCCCCTCTCCTTTCCTAATCACTCCCTTTGCAGGAATGCAGCTGTGACTGTAAGGAAGTGACTTGATCGCTTTTACTCTGATTTAGCTGTTTTTAACAAAATCTCTACTACTGATAAAATCAACAGTTTTAGAATAGATTTAGCTGCTATAATTTGGTCGCAATATTGACTTTTACAGGTCAGATTTTGTGACAAAAAGTTCCCCCCTGTATGGAAAATAACATTTCTATTTTTGGTATTCAGTCGGACTCTTCACCAGTCACCCATTTCCTTCCCAAAAGCTAATCTGCAAAGACACAGGAAAATTGCTTTAAGTGTGACAGCCTGAATCATTCATTCACTCAGTGTCAGTGTGTCGTTAAAGACAAACAGCAGACTTTGCAGCGCCACTCCCTTGTGGATTCACGCACCACACCCCGTAATGAAACTCTAATCATGTTCAGAGGTATGTGACCTCTCCGCCCCCATCTCCATCCCTGTAGGTGACAGAGAAACCCGCAGAGCTGACGTTGCTCTACTGCAATTAGTGACACGCAGACAGAAGACGGGGCAAAAACTGACCTCCCACCCAGACAGCAGCTGGATGAACAGCACCTTTTGAAGATAGAAGCTTTAAGCAGGTCTTGAACATACTTTTAATAAGGCAAACTATTTTTACAAATAGTTTATCGGTCTGATGCCACGTTCTAATTTTAAATGTTGTTTTCATTAGCTGTACGCAGAAAATCGTCACAATAAGCAGAAATAATGGCTTGAAAACATCCAGCTGTGTTTTTTTTTTTATCTATATAATGTGTTTCATGTTGTGATAAAGTTTGTACAAAAAAAAAAGAGAATTTTGGAATAATATTCTAATTTATTGAATGGGTCTGTGTGTGGGTAAGTGGTGGGAAATGGGTGCCAGGTGGGATTGGTCACATGTTATTTATCGGCTGCATGTTACTTGGTTGCACAGGTTTGAAGCAGGACACAATTGGGACCCATATGGGTATTAAATGCAGGTCTGAACGTCTGGAAGTGAACGCAGGAGCTGCTTTTATTATTTTTCTTTTCTGGATAAGTACAGAAAATAAAACGTTGGATTATCGAGGCTTTACGATATTTTCAAAAATGTGGAAATCTGAATTTCTTGGATCATTTTGCTTTTTAAATTCAACAGTTTTAATCTTAAATTTACAAAGTTGACTTTGAAATTTTAAACGTCAATATGTTGTTTCTGAGTTACTGACTGAGAGCTGGTTCAAAATGAGATCCAGGTTTTAATTGTTAGAAATAAAATAAAGCATTAAAGATCACAAACTGTGCTTGTGTCCTACTTTGACTCATCATTTAGGACTTTAAATATCAATTCGAAATCATTTATATTAGTCAAGATGCCAGAAAATGAGGGAAAACAAATTATATTCCCATCAGATGCTTATTTGATTTGCAAAACATTGATTAAATATTCTCCATCCAACATCTATAACGGTTGGAAAAACAGTGAGAGAAATCCTAAAATTAGACCAAAGTGATGGACTTTCAAAATGGAAGATGGAAAATATGTTGGACGACTCAAACTATTCATGACCCAGCTGGAACCTGCAACCTGTTCACACCTGCCATTTATTCATACGAGTTACAATTTACAACAGGAATTTGATTTGAGGTCCAAACTCCTGATGGGGCCCGCGTCTCCTCGTGTTGGCTGGGTCGCAGTTTCGAGGCCAGGCTGGCGACGAACCGACTCAGTGAGTCAGAGAAGCTGAACGGCACCACAAGTGGTTCTGATAAGTGGTGGCTGATTATTTATCTCTGGGGTAAAGATACTGGAAAAAGAATGTGTAAAAGTAGCAGACAGGAGAAAGTTTTCAGATTCTTTTCAGTTGCAAGTATGAATAGAGACATAAAAGTGTTTCCTGTTGCACTTTTATTGTCTGTTATTATTATTATATAACAGGCCTCTTTGAGTAAAGTGGCACCGTAATACATGCAGACTGAGAGAGAGCATTCCTCTGCATGAGTAAAATGATACCTGAGCAGCTGGTAAAATAAATAGAAGAATATAGAAGGGACACACACACACACACACACACACACACACACACACACACACACACACACACACACACACACACACAGGAAACCTGAACCAGAACTCACTTGTTAATCTTAGAGACAGATTCGGTTTTCTTCGCCATCTCGGGAGACCTGTCGCTGTAATCGGAGTCCTGCTACGGTTCTTCCAGCGGCCCACTCTTGCTTTCTCCTCTTCCTCCTCTCGATCCACCTGTGCTGTGTGTGTGTCTCCCTCTCAGTTAAAGAGCGTCCCACCTGTCCCCGGCTCCTCCCAGGCGCAGCAGGTGTAGGTGTGCCATCAACACGGAGCGATGCAGACCGGGTCGACCTGTTCCACTCTGCTGCCTGACTTTTATGTCCCAGGAGATTTACCTGTCATGCGTTTATTCTAATAATTGCACATGGATCAACTTCTGATAGGTGTTTTTTTTTTTTTTTGCTTTGTTTTAAATCAGATTTCGGAAAACAGGTGCAGAAACCTGAGAAAATGTAGCCACATTTTGATATTTTTTTGCTTTGGACAGTTTTAAATTGTTTTTATCATGCGATGCTAAACCAATAAATAATAGAAAACATGATAAAATAATAACTCTGATACTTTAATTTCACATAAGAGAATTTGGCCACTATAGTCCCTTGCAAATGTTTAGCACCTGTTCCTGTTTCACAACTTTTACTATCTAGCTTATCTGGATTCGTTTCTTCTAACAAGACATAATGAGAATGCTTTGAAGTCAAATCAAGAGTTTGAAATCTCAAAAAGGGAATTTAAGATTAGGGTGATGGCAAAGAGGCTTTCCAACTTCAAAGACTTTTAGATCACTAAAGGTAAATCATCAAAAGACTTATAGAAACTCAAAAAGCTGCTCAGCAATTATGAGACTTTTTTCTGGTATGGAATTTATTATTATTATTATTCGTAATGTAAAAATGTGAATAAAAATTAAGAAATGTCATTTTTACGAGACTGTTTTTAGTTTTCTATTATTATTTTTGACAGATATTATATTCACTATTTTGTCGGTACCGTTGGACCATTTGAGACTTATTATAAAACTGACAGGACAGCGGGGTCGGACTCTCTGGTCCAATACGCAGTTGGTTCAAATCTTAAATAAGAAATAGGGACTTCATTGTGTCAATAACTTCTCGTCGGAGCGAACAGAAGTTGCACGTCTCGTTAGCTCAGATCATAGCAAGATATAAGATTAGCTATCATAACTATGCAGATGCTGCACAGCTCTACATTGTGATGTCACCAGGTGACTCTGAACCCATCCAATCACTGAACAGATGCTTAGGAGAGATAAATGTGTGGATGTGCCACAACTTTCTGAAGCTGATTAGAAATCTGAAGTTATCATCTTTCGACCTTCAGAGGAATGATCCAGAGCCAACACACAACTTCAGTTGTTAGAGCAAGAAACTAGAAATCACGCCTGGAATCCAGATGTAAGTGATGGGCTTTGACCTGAACCTCCAGACACACAAAAACAGTTACAAAGCCGGCCTTCTGTCACCTGATGAACATCTCCAGGATTTAAGGACTAATGTCTCAGCGAGATCTAGAGAAACCCATCCATGCATTTATCTTTATTTACAAATCTGGAACAAACTTCCAGGAAACTGCAAAACTGCTATAAGACTGACTTCCTTTAAATCAAGGCTAAAAAACCCAAACTGTTTAGAGTTTCCTTTGATTCCTGGCAACTGGAGTGAAAGTCTTTATTCCAATATTTGATGATAATGATTCTTGACAATTTGATGATGGAGTTTGAGGAAACGTGATGTTTATTGCTTGTTTTATGTTCCCAACAAAGTTATTTATTGTGTTGTGTTTTTATTGTGTGCGGCACTTTAAACTGCCTTGTTACTGAAATGTGCCATACAAATAAACCCGACTTGGCTCTGCGTTGGTCTATTAAGCAAAAACCTACTAAAATATACATGAATCTGAGGTTATAATGTGACAAAGTGTTAACTTTAATTGGTAGGAATATTTTTTACAAGGCTCTGTGAATAACTTGGCTTTCACAACAGTGATAGTGAAGGAATGTGGAATAACTCATCTCAGAGTGCCAAATGAATTTTGAGCAACAGAAAGTGAGATAAAAACAAAAACAAATCCACAATTTGTTCCAAAATAAGCATGTAAAGTAGCTGAATATTTGCAATTCATATCGAGTTTCAAGCATATAACAGGGTGTGTGCGACCAGCAGCCATTTTCCTCCTAGCTGAACTTCCGTGTATTTATGCTTATCACGCACACACACCCTGTGTAGCTATCCAAGAGTCAAGGTCTGAGGTGAGGAATGCAAAGTTCACCTGCTGTCAAAAAAAAAAGACTGACAGAAAACTAACTGCGGCTGATAACGCGGACACGCCGCTCCGCAGCGGCTAAGCTAGCATTGTGTTTGTTTGCATTAAACCCAGGCATGCGCGAGGCAAACTGAGCAGACAGCGCCTGAATGCGACTTCTTTCCGCGTCATTGGGAAGAAATGAGTCCAGCATGCCGCCCAGTCTCATGCTTCGAGTGGGTGTGGGTGTGTGTGAGGCGCACACACCCACAGCAGCGACTCCTTGAAGCCAACACCTTCACATACCTGCGGGGGAGAGGGAGGGGTTAAGGAACAAAGGTATGAGAGGAACTGAGATCAAACAATAAGGTGGTGGGACAGGAGAGGTGACATGAGGAGGGGCGGGCGAGGGGAGTCACACCTGGCCTGGACCTTTGACCCCAGCAGCTGCTATTAGAAACAGCACTGTGGTGGTGTTGGTAGCATGATGTCAAAGAGGCTTAGAAATATGTCTTGTTTTCTTTTGGCTTCATTTAATTATCGGCAGAGCCGCTGAGGAAAACAAGCTCAACCTGCCACGCAGCTGACGTGTACAGGTTTTGTAAAAGTATTGATGCCCCTGGAGATTACTCATATTTGATTAAGTCATGACCTGAAACTTCAATTGGTGTCATTCAGTTTTGGTGTGATCAACTAACACAAAGTAGATTGTAAAATTTAATGAAACGGATGGACGGGTTGTTCTGAATTTCCTTTTGCAAATTAGGAATACTAAAAGTTGGAGTGTTGGCATTCTGGTTTTACTCCTCCTCTGCTCATCTGCCCTCCGCTTATGAGAAATCAGGTTTTTCTTTAAAAAAAACAAAAAAAAAAACGCTTTTTCTGATTTTATTGGTAGGACTTTTTCTAAACTATGATTAACTTTTAATTATGGATGATTTTAATAAACGTCTGCTGTGAAACCACACTGGAGTTTTTTTTTTTTTACATTATTGGCTGCGTTTACATTGAACACGTAACGGCGCAAATAGGAAGTACAAACATAAATTTGCTAAATAAAAACAGGCATTTTCTAAAAACAGACAATTTTTTTTTTCTCCAAAATTTAAAAAAAGAGCTTTGGGTGGGTTTTCTACTGTGTCAAAATTTGTCTTTCGCAAAACTGCAATAGCCTATATGCCACGAGTAGTGGTGACATACAGTCATGTGATCAACAACCAGACGTTGCCACTGGCGAAAACCACGAAGACAATAGGAAGTGGTAGGAAGATAGTGTTTTTTAACAACTTACTATGACTTTTAATGATGTGAGATTTAATTTTTTTTTATTTAATGGAAACATCACAATTGTGAAATGTATTGATCAAAGTTTGGTCAAACATTCAGAAAATAAATTGTTAAAAGGAAGAGGTTTCCTGTAGTTCTTGACCAAGTTTTCACACACTGCAGCAGGGGTTTTGGCCCACTCCTGATGTTTCAGGTTTCAGGGCAACACAGGATGTCAACATAGATCTCAAGATTTTCTACAGTTCAAGTCTGGAGACTGGCTAGGCCACTCTAAACCCTTGACATGCTTCTTAGCCACTCCTTAGTTTCCCTGGATGAGTGCTTCAGGTCACCATTGTGCTGGAAGGCCCAGAATCAACCCATATCCAATGCTCTGACAGGAGGTTGTTGCCCAAAATCTCTACATGCTCCCTAAATCCACCCAAGACTGCAGTCATCCTGTCTCCTTTGCAGAACAAGTTTCATGTTTCACAGTTGGAGTGGTGTTCTTGGGATTGTTCTAGTCCTTCAGTGAGTAGTTTATACCAAAATGTCCCATTTTGGTCTCAGTCTTCCTCTTGATCATTCAGATGTTCACTGGCAAACTTCAGACAGGCCTTGATTTGTACTGGCCTGAGCAGGGGGACCTTGATTTTAAGTCTGTTTTAGTGTTACTGTAGTAACCTCAGACACTGTGGTCTCAGATCTTCAGGGCCTCCTTAAGTCCCAATCTGATGGAAAGTCATCTCTATTTTGTCCAAGTACACCAATGTGGGATATAGTTTTTTTTTTCTTGCCACTTCAATCTTATTTTACTTTAGGGACCTAAAAAGGCCCAACAGCATGATAAGAAATGCTGGTTCTGAGACAACTGGAGTGAAAGTCACCTGGAGGTGATTTTGCAAAGGACTCTTCATAACTACAATAACAGAAGAATCTGAATTAGTGAGACACATTTACCAATAATTTCCCTTTGGGATTAATAAAAGTATTTTTAAATTTAAGACCTCTGGTATCAAGCTTTCCCACTCTCAACCTGGGGGTGCTTTATCCTCCCCAAATTCTAAAACTTGTCATCTACCACTAAAACCCCATCTAAAGCCCAGTTTACCATTCTTTGAAAGTATGACACCTGCTGGACTGTAAAGGTAGTACATAAGTTGAGAAAAAACAGGAAAAAAAACAACCACAAAACAATCTTTTGTATGGTTTTATTTCAAAGATCATGCAGTGCACTTTCAATGTAAGAGCTGATCACTGAATGCTACACATGGAAACCAATACACTTGTAATTTTCTGGTACAAAACAAACTAAATATTTCTGAGGAATGTAACAAATTAAATACAGGAAAAACAAATGTGCAACCAAAACTATTGTTGCACTGCAGATCTTAAAAGGCTTCATAGGTTGACAGAACCCTGTTGTGTAAATACAAAAATTTCAAATTAGGTAAAGAACTTAAAAGACAAAATGCAATAAATTACCTCTTTCAAGTATGTGGGGCATTTACTGAGAGAACTGTGGAGGCATGGGATATGGCACCAGAGGTGGTGGAGGATGCTGTTGAGGGGCAAGTTGTTGGGGTGGAAGCTGAGGAGGCACCTGGGCCTGAGGGAACTGGTACTGAGGATGGCTTGTGCCATTTTGTGCAACAGGCTTATTGGGA